TTTTTTTTTTTAACAGGTTATCGTGGGCGGTGTCTGCACGTGGGAAGAGACATAGAGAGAGAGAGGGAGAGAGAGGGAGAGAGATGGAGAGAGGGAGAGAGAGAGGGGGGGGGAGAGAGAGAGAGAGAGAGAGAGAGAGAGAGAGGCCGGCGAGGGGCCATCATCTTTCAGGCACCGCCGCCACCGAAGCTTGATCCCTAGCCGTGCACTCGCGCTCGGCGCCACCCTTAGCGATTCCAGCGCCGGTCTCAGCGGTCACGGTCGCAACCGCAGCGGTCGCCGTTTCAGCCGCCGAGGTAACCTCCCCGACCGAGGCGGGCACGTTCACGACGACGGGGAGGAGATAGGCATGTTGGAGGGGGCGTGCCACGTTCTCGTTCCTGGGGGACGCGGACAGGGGGCAACATCGGGGTGCGACATCAGGAGATGACATCGGACTGCGACGACTCGAGGGGTGACATCGGGGGACAACATCGGCGGATAGACGGGTGGAGGAGGGTAGGGGACAAGCCGTTTGTTCAACATGACTCGGGGGGCGGGTGGTTGGGGGGGGGCAGACTTCATCCCTTTTTGATACGCTGAGATGGCGAAGCTGAGGAGGGCGTCATGCGTCTAGAATTATGTTACGCTGGGACAACCGGTGGGCACATGGGAGAAGATGCAGGGTGACCGCAAGTTGCGATGCAACTTGTGCAAGCACCTGTGGCAGGGGAACCAATCGAAGGCTGCGAGGCATTTCTGTCAGTTGCCCTGTTGCCCAGTTCAACGTGCTCGTTGACATTTGGAACGACACGGACTACAAATTCGATGACCGGCATCACAGATCCCGGGCCATTCGTGCGTACATGAAGGAGCACGACATCAAAGACTCGCGAGCAGTTGCTGGAGGTGCACGTTTGCGAGCATCACCTTACACTGCAGGAAGGGACGGGATCCAGGACGTGCTGGATGAGGCTGAGGAGCGAGAGGGGGTGGAGTTGCCAGGGGAGGAGGTCGTGATGACGTCACGTGGGGAGGATGTTGCGAGGCGACAGGGGAAGAGGCCGATGGGGGAGGCAGACCAGGCTGCGACCCGACCGGGGAAAAGGGTCCGGCAGAGCAAGATCGACGAGGTTTACGATGCAGACAAGCAATCGATTTTCAACGACAAGTTTCTGCGGTGGATCTATGACTCGGGTATTCCATTCAACGCCTTCAGGAGGCAGTCGTGGAGAGAGGTCCGGAAGGCGGCGGAGGAGATGCCTAGACGAGTGCGGATGCGATTTCCTCCCTTCAAGCAAATCGGCGGAGATGGAGTTCCTTCGCAGAGGGCGAAGGTGGCGGCCACTCTACGGGGGGTTCGAGAGTCGTTCCGTCACAGTGGGGCCACCATCTTGTCGGATGGTAGGAAATCTCGTGATTCGCGACCCATCGTCAACTTCCTTGTTGCGGGTGCAAATGGCGCCCTCCTCTATGCCACCGTTTGCCACGAGAGTGTTGTACCGAAGACGGGCGCTATTGTTTTCCGCAAGTGGAGGGCCATCATTGAGTCCTTCCCTGCGAAGGACGTTATAGCCTTCCACATGGACTCCGCTAGTAACTACACAGCGGCCTCCCGTTTGCTCGCCACAGACCTTGATCCAGTGGTCCTGCGCATCACTTGGCTCCCCTGCTCGACCCATGTCTGCTACTTGATGTTGTCAGACATTGGGACACGAGTGGGTTGGGCAGTTGACACCATCATCTGTGCACGAGTGATGGTGCGATTTATTTAATCGCACGGCGCAGCTCTCGCCCTTTACAAGAGGAAGAGTCCGCGTGTTTCGCTCGTCCAGCCAGTGGAGACTCGTTTTTCGTAAGTTTTCATGATGCTGACCTGTCTCTTTGGGAGACGCGACTCTCTGGAGGCGATGTTGCATAACGACGCCTGGGCGAGTATCCCGTGGGAGCGGAGGCTGCTGCCCCAGGCGAGATAGGTGTGTCTCCAGATTCGAGATGGTGGTTCATGGCGGTTCGTGGAGTTCTTGATCCGTGTGATGGAGCCCATCCATCAGCTCCTGAGGCGGATGGACAGAGGAGGGATGATGATGTCCATCGTCTACGAGTGGAGCTGTCATCTCGTTCAGCTTCTCACGAAGTTGGACTCTGTGCCAGCTGATCTTCTGACCCCGTGCGTGCGAGAGGTCAGGATGCGGCTCATGCACTTGTTGGAGCCCGCGCACGCTGTCGCTCATCTCCTGAACCCCCGTCGATGGTCTTTGAGGTACTATGAGTCCGTCCACACCACCACGGAGGATGCTTAGGTTGTACGAGAGTGTGATCGTTTTCTCCTTGCCAAGACTCGAGGTGATTCGACAAGCAGGGATTACCTCGTTGTCCGTGACCAGATACGTCGATTCCATGCGCGCAGAGGAGAGTGGGGTGATCGGCTTGTATCGGATGCCGAGGCGGAGGATTGTCAGGGAGATCATGAGACTCACCATTGCACAGCATGGTGGTTTGCCCACAGGACTGTCCACCCAGAGTTACGTGCTATCTGTGTGATGCACATGTGGACGTCAGCCTCTCCTGCTAGGAGGAATTGGGCGGCTCACGAGCGCATTCAGACGGTGAAGTGGAGCAAGCTTGGCTTCGCCAAGCTAACACAACTGGTTGAGATTACGACGAATCTTAAATTGGCTTCGTGTAGGCAGCAGGGTGGCGGTTATGTGCTTCCGTGGGTCATGGATGGCATCGACACTGATAGACGGCGGCAGGAGGAGGACAAGGATGGCGGTGACCCTGAGCCTGATGTGTGGGGGGCGAGACCTGTTGGTACCTTCAGCGATCGAGAGATCATGACGCAGATCGAGGTTTTTCGCAAGGACGACACAAGCCATCCACGAGAGGTTTCAGCCGTGTTCGGGGATAGGGCGGCCACTCTGCTCCTTTTCGACCATGTGCCTCCTCCCCCATCCCGGGGAGTAGGAAAGGGTTCTGCGGCAGTCGTTCAGGATGGAGAGGACAATTGGACGGACGCAGAGGACATTGCGGGGGGCATAGACAGGACGATGGAGCAGGTTTACTTCACGTACGGGGGCGGATCGAACGGCCATGCACCGCGGACGTCCGTCATTACGGACGATGTTGCAGGCGGGGCACAGGGTAGCGCCACTCGACGACCCCAAGCAGGTCGAGGTCGTGGCGCCGTTGATCGCGACGGTCCCCCTCGTGCGAGGAGAGTTTTAGGGGTGGACTCGAGCGACGAGGACGAGGCAAATGGCGTTGAGCGCCTTCGGGACCATCGATTTGATCCGAGCCACCACTCTAGGGAGCACCCAGAGCAGCTTTGGCGGTCGCACAGGTTGGCAGAGCGTAGTGGTCTGACGTCTCAGCAGCCTCAGGACATACCGCCGATACCGTTTGTGGAGGGGACTCCGTCACATAGCGGCCCCGCTCAGGCCGCGACATCGGACCTACTCACCAACGATTTCGATATCGCGGGTTCGCATGGGGGCTCGCCTGTCTTACGATGAAGAGTGGGTGACAGAGCTGAGTACAAGACATGTCAGGGAAAGGGAGGAAATTGTTGAGGAGAGGGACGCTCGCCTAGATCGCGAGGAGGAGGCACGGTTACAGTCCATGGCTCGATGGGCTGGCAGAGATGCGTATGAGGCCGAGCAGCGGAGGCAGAGGGAGTTAGAGACGACAGGAGCAGGTTCACAGGCGAGCGTCGGACCATTGCCGACTACAGACACGATGCATCCCCCCTCTCTGAGAGCTCCGACGACGGTGACGAGTGTGAGGCCGCAGAGGCTATCGTACACGACGTTGTAGTTGGCATATACGCGGCTGACACAGATGGAGGGATTCATGGAGGGGAGGAGGAGATGGTGGATGAGGCCAGTGTGCCTTTGCCTCCTGACGCAGCACAGGTTGAGGAGGAGTTGGTGGACGAGGGGAGTGTCCCCTTGGAGGTTGACGCAACACAGGTTGAGGGCAGTGTGCCTTTGGATGATGACACAACACAGGTTGAGGAGGAGGGAGCAGCAGTCCATGCATGCCACAGTGCCCCATCGTTGCGAGATGGTCAGTGACCTACTAGGCGATGAAGAGGGCGGAATATATATGACCCATCTTGACGACATCCAATGCAAAAAGGAGGAGCAATGGGCATAATGGGCAAAAAATAAAACGTTGATAACAACTAACAGACTAACCAATGAACAATTTTAGAGACTCTTCCCCTGAAGAAACAGTACACCTATGAAAAGAACTAGATTACCCATTTTGTAGAACAAACCAGTCCTCGACGGACCTCAACACCATGTCACGGTGTGAATATGCGATAATTTATTTCCTGGACATCCTTACCTCTAGAAGACCTCTACTGGAGAAAGACACAGAGTTCCCAAATTTCATACCATTTTAGGAAACTACTAGGGTAAGATTGTCAACCAAAAGTCGCTTGGATTTAGGCAAGCCAGTAACACTAGAGGAACTCACACATGCCAAGAAACAGATGGCGATGGGCAAAGTCCCTGGGGATGATGGCCTGCCGGTGGAATTTTACTTAACCTTTTGGCCAGCCCAAGGCCCACCCCTGGTTAAAATTTACAACTCAATCCTCTCCGGAGAAAAACTGGCTAAGGGTATGACACATGGTATTATCTCATTACTATATATTATTTGTTGTAATTTGTTTGGAATATCTGAATCTATCAAACACACAATCGGTATATGTAATTGACTAGCTTCAAGTATGGCCATGGAATACTGATTTGCATTCATTATCACCAAGCAGTCTGGAATATCGTTTGTAACAATTTCTTCAAAGCATTTTTTTATTTCTTTATAACGTGGCACCTTGCGAATATGTTGTACTGTATTTAAAGCTTTGAGTGATAAGTTTTTAAAGTGTTGAAAATGCGCGTGTACATGAAAAATGTGCTTCCAAAGGGGAGAAAAGTAATATGTAAAACTGATGTCCAATTTCTTTGCTCAATGTGTCCTACAAACTCCTAGCCAATACGTTAGCAATCAAGCTAGGGAGACACCTCCTTGACCTGGTGGGCCCGGAATAAGGCGCATTTGTTCAAGGGCACTTCATCTACGACAACATAATGACGGTCATAGGAGCCCTAAAAATAATCAACGAACAAAACCTAAACTATGCACTCTTACTCCACTAGACATTGAGAAGGCATACGATAAGATAGGCTAGTCCTTTGTACTGCAGCGAACCTCTATCTGCCCTGACCTACAGCGAAGGCCTATTCGACTATTTGCTTGTTCGGCCTGTGGGACCAGGTCGTGGCCTAACCCCAATGGCCATGTGCTGCTTTCAGTCCAGTCCAGTCTTGCCCGGTACCACTGTCGGTACCAAGCCAGGCCAGGCCAGTCCAGTCAGTCCGCTGAGGGTATACCCCAACTGCAGTCTGTATTTCGATCATTCTTCATTTTGCACATTTTGGAGTACGTGCGTGTTGAGTCTGCGTTGGAGTTACGCTGTCCCTTCCAACTCCATCTCTACCTCCTCCTTTGTCAACCCTCCATCTCCATCCTGATGGACCGCCATCCCAGCGGGTCCGCCACATGTATTGACCACTCTACAACATATGAACTTCATAGTTAACTACATAAACTAGGTAATCAATCTTTATACCTTCTCAACTGCATCAGTAACTTGAATGATTAATGGAAAAATATCCACGCCCTTAAATTTAACGAGATCACTACGACAAGGGGTGTCCACTAACACCACTTTTATTTGTACTGCAAATAGAAATCCCCTTAAATAATATTAAAACGAACGATCAAATGAGAGGTCTACCCACCTCAGATAGACAATGAAAAAAAGGCGCATTGGACAATCACCTACTTGCAATATGTAAAAACTCAAGAGAAGACCTAAACGAACCCTGACAATGCTTACTAACCTATTACGAGGCGTCAGAGGCATCCATTAATTGGACCAAATCGGTATACATTTTACTACCTTCCTACAAGCTTGCAGTTTCGTGGGGCATGAAGCGCATCCCTACTGAGACCCCAGAGCGGTTTCTTTGAGTGCAAATCTCAACCAAGAAAACCACTTAATTTCAATACGGTGTCCTTACAGAAAGAGTTACAACATGTATGAACAGATGGTGCCATACCCTATCACTTTCTTTTATGGGGAGGGCTCTCATCCTCACCACACTAACATTCTCCCAGCTATGGTACACTGGTGCGGTGAGAGGGTTGAGTGAAGGAGCCTACAAGCAACTGAGGAAAAGAGCGGCGTGCGAAGGTTAGCCGTTCGTACACAAGGTCGCCTGGAGGACCATCTGCCATCCATAGAAAGCAGGGGGTCTAGGCATCCTAGACCCAAAGGACCAAATACCAGCAATAATGGCCAAGTGCCCTCTCAAGGCGGTCCTCCACATCGAACCTTTATCATGGATACCATTAGTTGAAGATATCTTAGGCAAGGGATGAAACTTGTCCAGGCCATCAGACGTCTAACTCTGCTCTTTGCTCCGCTCCTACAATAGACACCGACCAAAATCGGAGGTGTGGAAAAATATCTTGTCATCATGGGACAGAGTGAGACCAACCATCTTCACCAAGCCGGTATCGAGAACAAAAGTTCCAATGTAGCTAATCTTCGAGAACCCAAGGATCATTGAACCAGACAACCTCCCCTTTGGAGCTTCGGCAAATAGACGAGACTTTGGCAGACGGTGGATTGAGAGAGGGGTGGTGCAAGTAGAAGAAATATGGCACAAAAGGGAGAATCGATGGGAGATGGAATAGAAACTCGGACAATCCCCCAGACAGCTATATGGCATGTGGAACAATACAGGCGGTCGATCACAGAAGCAAGCCCACAAGACTGGTGGGAACTAATTAGCAATGCGAAATCAGACCCACCAGGCCTATGTTACAAGCCTTGCAACAACCCCACCACCAATTCTTTATGGAAAGTGATCTCAGTGGACACAAATGACTGTAAACAGATCCAAAAATGACAATTGACAATGGACCAGAGCAGCAATACGATTATCCCAAATTTGAAAGGAGAGTTCGACTGACCATCTACATGGTCTGCATAAGAAGTCAAGAGTGTGTGAGACGACAAAAAAAGGTAAGCTGACAATACAGGTGCATGCTCGAGCCGCACCACTCAGACAATTGAGAGTTGACTCTAGTATGTTCAATGACGCTCCCCGACAGGAAAGGGGTTAGAACTGCACCAACACACGTCCAAATTAGGTGTCACGGTGCTCCAGGCTCAAAGGCGGAACGACCCAACTCTATTGGCGGTGAAACGGATTAATGAAGCAAAAAAACTTCAAAACTTGGAGAACAGGGTGCAGATAGTTTGGAGCCAACCCGCCCTGCTACCTTCCCAGAAAGCGACAAGCCTTTTGTGGCTACAAACACTCCAAGTGGTACCGTCAACAATCTGGCTACAGAGCAAACATACAGAAGTAAATTTCAAGTGCGCCAGGTGTAACTGGCCATGGGAAACAACCTATCACATATGGATTGACTGCCCTTAATCGAGCAGTGGGGGGGGATGGTGGCAACACCACCAGAAACAACTTACTGACCCTACATTAACCTGGACGGTGCAGTGGATAGCACTTGGATTCCTGCCGGAGGACCTCTGCAAAAAAAAGGGCACAAGATACATGGCCCAATCTGTAAGAGGCATCATCCTATGGGAAATCTGACTTGTAAGAAATCACAGGGTGTTCAACAGTGGAACTTGCTTGCTATTATTACACGCTAGAATCATAATAGCCATCAGATGAACCATCAAGGCCGATTGGCATGGTAAGGTTCTGAGGAACCCGAACAAGCCCGCTGGCCTGAGGTGGTTGAAAGAAACGTGGGGAATTATGAACCAGCTAGTCTCAATAGATTCAGCAAAAAAACTCAAAACTTTTTCCTTGGATTTGGTTTGCAATTGCAGAAGGTCGAGGATGGTAGAATTATGTCGATCCAATCGGTCCAGATGACAGTGTCAGGCTGCGCTCATAGATATTTGATCCTTGGTTAGCCTAGGTAATCGTAGTATCAAAGAGTACACTAGGAAAACGAGTTGGATTTCATAAGCTTAAAGTTTATTTAGGACTGTTATTAGATTGGATACCTCAGGGACGCTGGACCCGGTTTCCAGCACAAGCCTAAACTGGGTAATGGCCCCAGACTTCCGGGTTGTTTGTGAGGAATTTCCGGCCTCTATCCATATTTGCAATAAAAGTTACAATTTAAAAAAAAAAAAAAAAGTCCAAGTTTGCAGTCCGCCCAACAAAGGCCGCCGCCACTGACGTAATATCTCCTACAATAACGGGAGAGTTGAGTACAAATTTTCACGGTCCGAATGCTGTGGCCCCTAGGGGCTGACCCGACAGGGAACTTCCAGCAAAAAGTAGGAAAAGTACCATGAAAGATGGGTCCACGGCCTTAGGCTCGTGAAAGAAAATTCTGCCCCCAGAGGGCCCACGGCGCAGGGACTTTTGCAGAATCGACAGCGAAATAGACTGCATGCCAACAGTACCTACGGATGGGCGAGGCCAATGTTACCTGAGGATGAACGTAGCAAGGAGGCAAGGCCGACAAGGAGGAAAAAAAGAAAAAACTGAATCGCGGTAACGCCGACTTTCTGGGGCACGGGCAAGGGGTCTGGGACTTTTCCAGAACGGCGGTGGTGAGAAGAAACAACTGTTTTTTTTTTTCTTCAGCCAAGACCCGCGGTACCGTGTGGGATTGTCAAATTTTCCCCAGAAGTATGTTGGATCAGAGCCTAATAAGTAGGGTGGGATGAGGCCCTTCCTCTAGGCGCCTGGTTTTACCCCTGCCATTTTAATTTTGCGTAAACTGCTCTCCTCCCACACACCCATCTCCCAAGGGCCCATTTCACCAATGGGCCTAGCTCACCTGGTACACCCACAAACTGTTGAAATACAGACCCAAGTTCGAATCCAGAAACAGTCAGATGGTCATGGGAGTCCAGGTCAGGGCGAGTGACAACTCTTCCGCAATATTCTTCGGCGTTTGGTAGACAGTTACAGGGCAAAGGAATTGACCTTCCGACTGCCGTAGCAGACCTGCTGAGTAGACTAGGTGCGACTGCTCGCCCAATCACACGGGAAGACATGAAGGCTCTTTGGGCCCAGTTAACGATGTTACCTTCCCAGAAGTTCGCAGGAATCCTTTGGCTTCTTTCGCATGCGACCGTTCCCACCTCAGCCTGGCTCTTTGAAAGGGGTATGGACATCGACACAAAATGCAAGCGGTGTGGGAGAAGGGAGGAGGAAACCCTCCAACATCTTTTTTGGTCATGCCCAGCTTCCAAGAGGCTGTGGCAATGGTGGGAACGACATTGGCTTCGATTTGTGGGTCCCATCCTTCCTTGGGACGAGACCTGGGCACTTCACGGACGCATTCCAGCGACCTGGTTCAAAGGCAAGGGCAGAGGCTATGTGGCACAGGCGATCACGCCAATTCTAATCTGGGTTATATAGGAAGACCGCAATAACATTCTCTTTCGCCAGCAATGGACGAGCGACGTTGCCCTCCTGGCCAAGGTCAAAGCTTGGATTAGAATCATGATACGAGTTGACTGGACCAGGAAGGCCAACAGGGGCCGCACAACGCGGGGCAGGCACTGGTTCTTGGTTACCTGGGCACGTGACAATCAACTGGCCGCAATCACACTGGGCGGGGAACTGGTCATCTCTCCCTGGCTATCTTCGTAGTAGCGCGCCCTCTTTATGTTCCTTTTGTTCGAGGAACCAGGGCACTCGGTTCCAGTGGGTAGACACAGTAGTCTGCACTAGGGGAGGCGGAGTGGAGAGTGCCGATGCCTGTTACTAGGAAGCTTCGCTTCCACCCGGTCGTAATAGACCTGGTTTCATGGCCGCATTAGGTCCATTCTATCCCTCTTTCTCTCTTTCCTTCCCTTTCTTCTCTTTTCTGTAGTTAGTTCCTTTTTACGTCTCTCTTAGTAAGACTTTGAATCAGTGTCTTAGCTTGAATGAGTGCAACAGCAGTTAGCTTAGCTAAGGGTCGGCTAGGTGAGTAAGATTCTTCAAGAGATGTTTCTGATAAGCTAAACCGGCTGATGCTGCCGGGATAACTCCSGGKGGRATTTAAAAAAAAAAAAAAAAAAAAAAAAAAAACAGTCAGATGACCAGAATAATATCATTCTGAATTACCTGGGCCCGGTCAGTTCAATAATGGTATCTCGTCGCCCTTTTTTTTTGTTTTTTTTTGTTTTTTTTAAACGGCCCATTTCCAGTCCGATCTCCGGAAGAGTGCCCTTCCCAACCGGCGGCTAGGTCCCACTTACGCGAATCAAGCGATATTGACGGTAGATAGCAAAGATCAACGGCCAGAATCTCTTAATCGGTGCAAGTGGGACCTTGCCCCGGTATATGGGATCGAAAATGCGCTCTCTTATCCTAAGAGGTGGACCCCACTGCTTTGCAGCAAAGCTTTGGAAGACGATTTGTGAAACCCCACTGCTTCGCGACAAGGCTTTGGAAAACGCTCAGGTATGACGTGGCAGACGTTTAGTTTTGTTTTGCCCGTTCCCTGCGGTTCGGCCATTCTGAGGGAGTAGGGGGGGGGGGCACCTCCCTCGGTTTGGCCATCCCTTGTGGAAAGGAGAGCCAGGGATTGGGTGAGAACCGAGACAAGCTGACGTGAAGTTTCCATATAGGGAAAGTTTTCCCTATCCGGTAACCGGGACCAACGGAATAGGGAATGAGAAAATTTGTGCTGCAGTGGGGTCTGCTTTTCTCTTTCCCACGGCCGGGGCCTACGATTTGGTTTTGGCGGAAGCTTTCCAGGCGGAAAGCTTCCGCCAGGCAGTGGGGTCCACCTCTTATCGAGGGAGATGCTACCCTCTCTCGGCTCAACGACCACCGGGCAATAGAACGCCGGACCAAAGGCCGAACGGAAACATTGGGTCTCACTCCAGACTCTATATTCCACGTTTTATGGGACGATTCATTCTCAGTTTGCACATTTGGTGAGCAGTGGAGCGAGGCCCATTATGAGGGCACAAAGGGGCTTGCCGCACAACCGACCAACTCATAGATGTGTTGAGCGTTCGCCATTTTTTTGTCTTTTCACACTGGTTTCTTGGCGGCCTGACAGCTCAGCGGGTACCCCATGAACTGTTGAAATAGAGAGACGTGAGTTCGAGTCCACATGATGGAACTTGAAGAGTGACACCAAAACTGCAACTAAGGGCCTCGCCGCGCCACTCTCCAAATGCCAACACTCCTAATGCACCCGGACAATATGATGTTCAGATTCATTCTGAATGTTGGCATTTGGCCAGTGCGGACCTTGAAACTCTTTGCAATGGCAAGACGCCCGTCGAACTCCCGACTTGAAAATTGGCGGGGCCTCAGCGAAACGAAATTCAATTTCAAAAGCTCCAGCAGTGCTATCGTGCTCGAAATTGGCGGGTTTTCCCAAACACCCGAAAACAAAAAACTGGCGGGCCCTCTCAGCAAAATTCAATTCAAAAGCTCCACTTGCGCAAATTAGGAGATTTCGGCCGTTGATCTTTGCCATCTACGGTCAGTATCTCTTAGTTCGTGCAAGTGGGACCTAGCCCCGCGGCAAGGTCCCACTTGCGCAACTTAGTAGAATTCGGCCGTTGATCTTTGCTTCTACGGTCAGTATCTCTTAATTCGTGCAAGTGGGACCTAGCCCCGGGTAGTGCCATCGGGCTCGAAAAATGTGGGGTTTTCCCAAAAACGAAAACAAAAATAGAATTGGCGGGCTCTCAGCAAAATTCAATTCAAAATCTCCAGTAGTGCTATCGTGCTCGAAAAATGGCGGGGCTTGAGGTGAAGCGCCGATAGTGTAGGTGCAGTCGCAGTGGCACAACTAGACGTTGGGGAGCTGCTCCCTCCGCGCGTCGCATTCTAACGCTGGCCCGATGACGGAGAATGCACAGGACTCGCGGCTTCTGCAGCCGGCTGCAAATGTTGGCGTTAGTGCTCGCAAAGTGGTCTTTGTGCACGTGGCGCCGCACGGAGAGCTGGAAGTGGCCTCGACAAAGAAGAGGATGAAGGCGGAAGAAGAGGAGGAAGCATAGCCAGAGGTATTGGAGACGAAGGAAGAAGATGCGGGACCCAAATTGGCCCGATTGCCTGGTTTGGCTGCGCATTCAGGCATGTCTTTCGTGTGGTTGATCGCGGGGTCTATGAGGGGTGAGAAAGCGGAGGAAGTGAACGAGGGAGAGGGGGAGGGGAGGGGGGCAAAATACCTAGGATTAGGGAAGCGGCGGAGGGGACTAGCGGAGCCCGGAGGCTGCCGCTGCGTGTTTTGACTGTCAACGTCGCGGCGTATTTGTTTGAGCGTTGCCTGCGGGGAGGAATGGCTTCGCAGCCATGACCGCGGGGACGCAGCGGCGGCGGAGGCGGAACAATAACGAACCGGAGGCGGAGGGGAGGGGCAATAAAGACCGCGGAAGGGGGAGGAGCGGCGGCTGGAGGTGTAGTGCGAGGTCGTAGGCGGCGAAGGCAAGTGTAGAAGACGACGAAATGATGTCGGAGCGGGGAGTCGTGGACCTACGCCGGGATGTTGCCGGCGACAAGGAGAACGCAGACGTTCGTACAGTCGGAAAGGGGAGGGGGATTCTTCCCAAGCATGGTAGTTTCGCTCGAGTTGCTCTTCGTGACGTCTGGAATACGATGGCAGCTCGTGAGCGAGTTGCGGAGGAGAGTAGGGCTGCGGAGCTCGGGATCAAGAGTTTCGTCGAACGACAGGTAGAGTTTGCGGCTAAGTCCAGTGCTGCCTCGGCCAACAACGGCGTTGGCGATGCGAGTGTAACGTCGGCGGGTTGCAGTGGCCGCTTGCTACCTGAGCGAGTCGCACGAGTAGCGCAGGGGAGGAGGGTAGAGCATCAGCATCAGCAGCAGCCGCCGCCGCAGCAGCAGCAGCAGGATCAGGAGCAGCAGCAGCAGCAGCAGGAGCTCGCTGTGCTGCGTGTGGATTGTGTCGGCGAGCAGGGAGACGTGGGCAGATCCTCCTCGCAATCAACGTCCTCGTCGTTGGTATGCCGTCAAGGAAGGGAAGGCGCGGCGGAGAAGGGGGGGGAAGCAGGCGGAGTCGTGGCGAAGTCGAGGCTGTTCTATGAGCTCAAGCAGTTTCTTGAACGGGGTAGCGATCCCGACAAGTTACCTGGGGTGTACGATCCTGTTGCAGGGCGCAAGAGGTGCAATGAAGACGATGCTAGGCTCTCGAAATTGATATCTCTGGTCCAGGCCGACGTTCAGTGCTTGCAACCATGGGTGAATTTACTGGAATTCTTGGAGACGAGACTCGGCTCTGTGTCCAAAGAGTACTCCCTGATGTTATTCGGGTCGCGTGTCACTTTGGCGCGCTTGTACTCATGGGCGACTAAACAGGTGCGCGGCACGGGTCAGGGGGGCAATGAGACGTACGTACGAGTGTGGATTGGCTTCGCCAAACAACAAGAGATCGACGACGAGGAGGAGGCTCGTAGCACTTTCAAGTACATGCAGTGCGAGGGGATTGGAATTCGTCTGTCTTATTATTACACGGAATGGGCGATGTTTGAAGCGCGGGCGGGAAACGCGCAGAAAGCCAGGTCGATTCTGAACAAGGGCATCAAGGCACAGGCGAAGCCCGTCGAGCACCTGAAGAAACTTGTCGAGAAGTTGGACGCGGATGGGCCCTCTGCCTTGCTGGAGCAGCCGTCCCTGCCACGTCAGCAGCAACAGAAACACTTGGACCCGCCTCCACGTCAGCATAATCTGTTGGAGGTTGGGGAAGGATTGCGTGGTCCCACCGCCGCCGCGGTGCAAGCTGGGTCCTTAGACATGATAAGGGCTGCTGCGGCGGCAGCAGCCTCGCCTGCTAATGCTGCTGCTGCTGCGCGAACAGCCTTTCCAGCGATTCCAGGACGGGTGGAATCGAGCGGCGCACAGCAGCTTTCAACGCCCGCCGTGCAGAGTTCTGCCATGCCATGGCAGCGGGCGCAGGCGCGAGGAGGTCCAGCTTCTGCATCATCGTCTGGGAAGACTTTGCCTGCTGCAGGAGAGCTTTCCTCGTCCCTTCCTTCTTCTTGCCAAAGGACCACCACCTCCTCTTCCTCCTCCTCGGAGGAGGGTGGCAATCGTTGTTTCCCTACCTCCGGGCGCCTCGATTGCAGACCCCCGGCTGGAGAATGGGGGTCATCGGTAAAGAGGGGTGGGAATTCGGCAGCCGCTTCAACCGGACTGACGGGAGCCTCGACGGCCGCTTGTGTTGTCAATGCCAACAAGGCTAGTAGAGTCGAAGCCACTCTTCTTGCGAGTGGAGCTCGTCAAGCGGACCATAGTTGTCGTAACGGCTCTGTCCCGCCAAGGGGAGTCGGCTTGAGCAGGCTGGGAGGGAACAGCCAGAACGGGGGCAGGAGGGTGTCTGATGACGAAATCTCGATCGTGAGGGTGTCGGACGAGGGCGCTGACGAAGATGATGAGGCGAGAAGGAAGCCATCGGGGCATCGGTTTCCCGCTGCAGGACAACTATCAGGAGCAGAGAACGGCGACGGTCTTCTTTCAGCTCAGGGCGGGAGGAATCTTTGGCAGTACCCCCCGTCCAGGCTGGTCTCTGAGACAAAGAAGGGGTCGGCTCCTCCCCCTTCGGCTGATTGTGGCGCTGGACATGCGGCCGCAAGAGACGGCCAATCTGACGTGGCCAACGCGACCGCTAGAGGGATGGCCGATCCCGATCCCGTCGTTGAAGTTAACGCTTTGTTCCGAAGTCTGAAACAGAGGCACGATGCACTGCAAGCCTGCCAGAACCACCTCAGACCAACTACGGTTGGCGATGATGTAATCACGACTGCTACCGCGAGCGAGAGTGGATCCGAAGAGGAGGCAGTCATCGTTGGGGAAAGCGGAGGCGGGTATGGGCTTTCTCTTGGGGACGGACGCGAAAGCAACCCGCGCAGTAGCTGTGGGAGCAGTGACGGCATTGAAAGCTACCACGGCGGCGGCCCTCGAGTGAAGAAGGGCTCCCGTGATGGTGGGGCGGGGGGTGATGATGATGCTGTTGATGAAGAAGTGGGTGCTGGGGATGGTGTCTCGTCAAGCTCGGTCGCGAACAAAACGGAAGGAACGAACTCGTCATCGGGCGAGAAAGCGGCCACGTGTCGCTTGCCGCGGGGTTGGCCCCGTCCTTGCTCAAACGATGGCGGGGGGGCACGTGGCGGTCGGTGCTCGGGCGATGAAGAGGCAGAAGGGCGAAGGCGAGGGGAGGAGAAGTTGTTGAACAAGGTAGGGAGGGAAGGGGACGCGCCCATGATTCCCAGCATGCGAGACAATGCGAACACTTGCGGGTCAGCGGGGAGGAAAGAAGACGTCTTTCCCCTTTTTCCTTCCGTCGGGGCGGCACCCTCCCAGCAGCCGCAGCTGAAGAGGGCAAACGGACACGACGTGGGATCATGTGTCGCGATCGGGCTGGGTCGGTATGGAAGCCATGTCAGTAGTCAAGAGTCCACGGATGACAGTTGTCGGGATGGGAGGATCCTGTTCTCCGCGCGGCGGCAGGACGGCGGCGGCCTCGACTCGCGCATCCAGCCGAGCGCGGGGGGTAAGGCTCAAGCCGCTTCTTCTCTTGTTCAACCCGCCCCCGCTCCTCCTTGTCAGCCTACTAGTGCCTGTCGTCGAGACGATTACGATTGTCGACAGCGGATACGGAGAGGCGAGAACAATAGTGGACGTGGAGAAGGACAAGAGGGCGGGGGGGGTGAAGTTAAGCTACAGCAAGAGGTGTTATTACAGCAGCAGGTCTGTTCGGAGGCCAGCAGGAGGGGGCTCGCTGGTAGTTATAGCCATTGCGAGAAAGGACCAAACGGGGACAACATAGCCGAGACGGCGGAGGAGAATGAGGAGCAGGCGGCAATGGCGCCCTCTGTTCCGGTTCGCGAGGTTGGCGTGAGTAATATGGGGAGACTTCCACCGTTCCCGCAGTCAACGGCGGGATCGAAGAAATATGATTTGCTCCAGTTTCGTTCTACTGGGCTCAGCGGACTCAATGGCAGCAGCAGCCGCAGCATCATCAAGAGCCCAATGCTGGCCGACATTGGGGCTTTTAGGCAGGCCGCGCAGGTGTCTTTGCGTCCTCCGTTGTCTATCCAGAATGGGAGAAAGGGCGGGTTGTCTGTGGGGACGAATGGCTCCGTGCCGCCGTCGACGGCCCTCACACCGAGCCGCTTCAAGCGCCTTCGGTCCCTTCCGGGTCCGCCTCTTCGTGTGCTGTGTATTGGTAACGAGAGCAATTCTGCGGACGATGAGGACCCGGAACTGCTGTCGGAATCATCTGCGGAAGGATGCTCGGCGGAAAAGGACGACGACAAGAAGAGGTTATCCGGGAGTGGCAGCGAGAGTGAAGAATGTAAGGAGCCTCCTCCTGCTCATCTAACGGGCCACCAGAGAAGAGGTGAGCGGATCGAGCCCCCGCGAACGGGTGAGTCAGGCCGCGTTGGCTCCTCAGGAGCAGTAGCCGATGCTGGAGCAGACGGAGCCGCCGCCAATCTCGCAGGAACGCGCTTGGGAAGGGGCGGACGTTCCCCTCTGCGCAAGGAAAAGGAGATGAGCGAGAAGAGCGGGAGAAATCTCCTTTCTCGTGACGATGAAGGGCTTCCTGCGGCGCAGAGGGTTTTCTTACATGGACACTCGAGGAAGAGGAAGGCAGAAGAGGACCTTATGGGTGTCTGTGAGCAGAACATAAAGGACGCGGAAGTCGAGGTGACGGAGAGGAAGGATGTGTCGCCTTGCGTTTCTGGTGTGGAGGAATCAGAGGAAAAGCAGCTGTGTACAACAAGTGAGGGGGAAAGAGGAGGAAGAAGAGAAGAAGAGAAAGACGAAGAAGAGAAGGACGACGACGACAAAGAAGAAGAGGAAGAGGAGGAAGAAGAAGAAGAAGAAGAAGGTAACGCTGGAGGGGTGACGATGATGATGGATACTAGCGAGATGACTACCCTAGTTTTTGTCAAATCGACGACAGCTAGGGGGGTGCATCACCCCCAATCCATCCAGTGTGTGCGGAGTGCATCGTCATCTTGGACTTTGGACAAGCAGCAGCAGACGGACCAGCATGCCGAAGGCGAAGACGATAGTGTGCTTACCACCGTTGAAGGTGGTGGCCCCTCCTTGGAGAACAAGGCAGAGGGGGTGAGCATGGGCAGTATTGGTGCCGGTTGTGAGGGAAAGAGTGTTGGTGCTGTGTCACGTAGCAGTGGTGGTGGTGCTAAGGCTGGTTGTCAAAACGAAGTCGAAAGCCAGAGGGCAAGTGGAGCTCAAAGCCCGAGGGGGACTCGACTGGAACAACGCTCGCAGTCAGGCGTTGAAGGGGTGACCGGAGAGAATCGCCTCATGGATACGAAGGTGCAAAATGTAGATGGGTCGGGGGACCGTGACGAACGTGTTGTTTCGACAGAAGTTGAGCAGATAGGCGAGGTGAAGGAGGAAAAGGGAAGTCATCTGTCTCGAGGAGGAAGGATAGCAGGCGAGGCGCTGGCTATAGGAGGAGGATTAAGAACAAATGTCCGGATGTGGACAAGAACTAATGGAAGTAAACAATCTCCGCTCGATAACCACCCGACCGATCGTAATGGTAATGCTACGGAGGGGAAGGAGGAGTGCCCAATGGTTATGACTCATGTCGGGCGAAAGGATAGAGGGATAGGGCAAGTTTTGCAAAGGGGCGAGCAGGCGAAGGAGGCGCTGCCCCTGCCGCAACAGCAGCAGCGGCATCAGAAACAGCGGCAGGCTGGAGAGAAGGAGAGCGAGAACCCAAACGAAGGTGGTCTTCATTTGCGTCTATCAGGGGAGAGGAACGAAAGCCAGCCTCAGCCTCCTCTTCAGCAATCATGGTCACGTCCGCTCCCTCAATCACAGCAGCAGCAGCAAGAGAAGGTGGATGAACGGCAGGGTAAAGTGCCCCCCAGCAGTTGCTGCTCCAGTGGAGCTTCTCATGGCCGTAATCTGGCGCGGCAAAAGGAAAGCTGTGATCAAAACAAGGTTGGAGAACAGCAGCTGTCCATGAAGGAAGTCGCAGAAGAGCCCCGGTCGTGTTCGATGGTAGTGCAGAGACAGCAACAGGTCCAAGGACAGGGCGTCGGTGAAGGACGGCAGATGAAGTGCCAATGGCCTAGCAAGCATCAGGAGCAGGAAAGAGACGACCGTTCGCAGAGTGTGGAAGAAGAGAAGAAGCCAGTGTTGAGAGAAAAGGACCGCCAGCAATGGGATGAAGTAGGGTACGAGAGGCCAACTCGTCCGACGGAAGATCGACCAACTGCTCAGCAGCGGCAAAATCAGAGGGAGAAGGACGAGCTGGAGGGTGAAATGCATCGCCAGAAGCAGCAGGATGCTGTCCCCATCCCGAGAAATCCTCGGGAGGCTTACCTTGCACCAGGCGCTGTCAAACAGGAATCACAGCAGCGGCAACTGCCACGACAACGAGAACAACAACCCGGTCTAGAACAACTTCAGCAGCAGCAGCAGCAGCAGCAGCAGCAGCAGCAGCAGAAGGAGGCTTACCTTGCAGCGGGCGCTGTCAAACAGGAACCCCAACAGCTGCAGCTGCAACAACAGCGACAACAACAACAACAACAACAACAACAACAACAACAACAACAACAACAACAACAACAACGCGATCTAGCACGAATTCAGCATCAGCAGCAGCAGCGGCAGCAGGAAGTTGTTCCCATCCCGAGTAATTTTCGGGAGGCAGTCAAGCAGGAACAACACCAACAACACCAAGAAGAAGAAGAAGAAGAACAGCAGCAGCAGCAGCAGAAGCAGCAGCAGCAGCCGCGACAGCAACAGCGGGAAAGCCAGTTGCAGCGGCAAAGGAGGGGCAATGAAAATGTCTATGGAGGGGGGGAAGGAAGTTCAGGTGTGATCGATAATCGGATAACAAAAGTGAACGGCAGGAGCTACAGGAGGCTTCAAAAGATCGGCACAGGTGGTAGCAGTGCTGTTTTTCAAGTTATAGGGGAGGACAAGAAAATGTATGCTTTGAAGCGGATATCTCTCAAGGGGCATGGAGCGGAGACGGCCAAGGGGTTCTTGGACGAGGTGCATCTGTTGACTGAACTGAAGGGCAAACGAAACATTATTCAACTGGTTGACTTCGAAATTCACGACACGCTGATCTATGTGGTGCTGGAGTACGGCGAGATCGACTTGGCAAAGTTGCTGGAGAAGGTGTGGAACGGCAAGGGGTCGAGTCGACAGGAAGGTGAGCCGAGGATGAACGAGCACACCATCAAGCACTATTGGACTGACATGCTGGAGGCGGTGAGGACTATCCACGAGGAGCGGATTGTCCACTCGGATCTGAAGCCAGCCAACTTTCTGCTTGTCCAAGGGGAGGTGAAACTGATCGATTTCGGAATCGCCAAGCAGTTGGAAAGGGACACGACGAACATTCACCGAAGCGAGATGGTTGGGACGTTAAACTACATGGCTCCTGAGACTCTGGAACTGAAGACGGCAGGTACGGGAGTGAAGGTGGGCAGGCCGTCGGACATCTGGTCCTTGGGATGCATCCTGTACCAGATGGTGTACGGCCGGACACCGTTCGCACATTTTAGTCCGTACCAGAAGATGTCACTGCTCCCCCTTCCCGACACGCAGGTCGTGTTTCCTCCGCTCAACAACGAGTACTTGTTGGACGCAATGAAGCAATGTTTGGAGAAGAACCCGCGGAAGAGGATGAGCATAGATGGGCTCTTAAGGCATCCTTTCCTATGCGGCCCGACGGCGGAGGTGCCACGCCCACTTGAGAGGGACGAGCTCCTGCAGGCGATGGAGAAGCTCATCGACGACACGTCGAAGGATGACGCGTGGCGTGTGCTCCAGGTGCTGAACGACCGGTACAGACTGCGTCACGGGACGAACGAAATGCATGTCGCCAAGAGTACGGACAGTGCCGGGTATGATAACTCCCATGGAGGAGGAGGAGGCGGAGGAGAGGTGGTGAGCGGACCAGGATCAGCATTAGGATCAGCAGGCGCAAGACCAGTTGTTGTTCCTCCGGCGCAGCATCCACAGCAGGGCGATGTGGATTCGAAGAAGGAACGACATGCGTCATCGGGATACGAGAACCAGGATGATCATTACAATCATCAGTATCGCCGCCAGCAGCAGCAGCAGCAGCAGCAGCACCAGTATGATGACGATTGGGGGAATGTATATGACGGATGCGATGCCGTGAGTATGGATTCGCAGCACAGCCCCTGTCGAAGTGAAGATAGCGGGGTGGGAATGGAGAGGTGGGGGGGCAAACGAATGGCAGCTGTGGATTCGGGCCTAGAGAACGTCGAGGGGGAGCGCGGGCTAAGCAGTGTGAAGCTGAAGATGGCTGGCAGTAGTGGGGGTGGAGGAGGAGGAGCAGGATGGAAATCGAGGTGTGAGAGGCCGCGACCGGCCATTTCTGGTGGCAGACCGAGGGCACCAGGAGTCGGTGCACGGGTCATTCAAGGTGGTCCTCAGCGATCGATCTCTGCGCCCCGTAGAGGACCGGGAAGACCTGCATTTAAATGAAGACCCAATGATCAATGAACTGATCTGATCGGAAGGGCCCGTCTGTCTATTCGTCTGTTAGTTGTCAGTTGGTAGGTTGGTTGGTCGTATCTTAAACCATCTATCTATCTATCTATCTATCTATCTATCTATCTATCTATCTATCTATCTATGTATCTATCTATCTATGTATCTAACTTTTCGTTGAATCTTACTGGATAAGGAAGCAATGTAAGAAGCGCTGATTGCCTGAGAATGAGAAGGGACGCTGTTGTAGTGCTGCGTTGTAAGGTGATGGTTTAGCTCCTGAGGTAGACGCTTCCAAGCAACTTCTATGAAGCTTTCCCGTGTGCTTTGCAGCAGTGATGGATCGGTAAACGGTCCGACTATGTTTTTTTTTAATTTTCCCTTTTTTTTTGTGTGTGTAAGATGTTAGGAGGCGTAGGCTTGTCGTGTATAAGACCAACCATCTATCTATCTATTCTTTGGTGAATCAATCCGCTTTAGACTTGTGAGAATTGACGTTGTTGTGGTGTTTTGTCTGTCGTAGGGTGACAATCAATCCGCTTTAGACTTGTGAGAATTGACGTCGTTGTGGTGCTTCGTCTGTCGTAGGGTGACGATGGATTTGGTTTGGGTGGGGGTGACGTTTCTTGAATTACGGGTGCTATGTCGAGCAATCTTTGCGACGGCGACTGCAGCAGGTGCTTGTCAGGTTGGCGATGTCGGCTGGCTCGCCCCGGACTAACGGCAGGGTGATCTTCTGTGTCACAGAGTATGGCGCCTTCGATTGATGGTTAATGCATACTCAGTCAGATTAGGCCCTTCTGGAGTGAATCTGGTCGTACTGAGGCCTCATGGATGCAGGGAACTCCCAGTGCGAGAGATTCTGTGGTCATCGGATTTGGTTTGGGCTGGACCCCGCCCGACGGGAGTGGTGATCTTCTCTATTACACAGCCACGCCTCCTTCGATTGATGGGTGATTAGGGCATACTACTGAGTTAGATTAAGACTTTCTGGAGTGAATTGTGGTGGTATTGATGGCCACATGCATGCAGCGAACTAAACTCCCAGTGCGAGTATGCTTTATGGAGCGAATTCTCCTCGGATTGACGGCCACATTCATGCGAGAAAGTCCCTGTGCGAGTATAAGCTTTAGTCATCGGCTCTGGTCTGAGTGGGGACGTTGTTATAGTCCCCTTCCTGGGCTTTGGTGGCACCGGTGAATGCATGCGGCACCGGTGAATGCATGCGGTTTTCCACAGAATCACGGGTGACATGACTGGGAATCGAGTCGCCACGTGACTGCATGAAGAACTTCAGGTTGTTCCTTTTCTACTGTTGGTCGGTCCTTAGTGCAGGTCGCGTCTGATGCGTCGTGGTGGGCGACTGGAACGTGCTCCTGTTCTTCTCTCATGTTGGGCTCCTCGGGGAAACTTCTGGATGTGAAAGATGTGGTGGACTCGGTGGATGCAGACACGAATCGACACGACTTTGAGGAGGTCATGGGGCGTACGACGAAGTTAGGTGGTTGTGGATTTCACGACCGACGCAGTTGGGGGAATGATCAGTTTGCATCATTACTCGTGGAGGAGGCATACGTGGCCCCCAGTGGCCACGCCTCTAATGGAGGTGACAATGATGCGGAAGAAAAGAGCAGAGCAACCTAGATAAGGGAGTAGAATGGGGCTTAGGATATGTAAGCTGTTGTGCGGGAATCAGGATGGGGGGAAGAATGGTGGGTTCTACGACCCAGTTGTTGGGGGATTGATGGGTTCGCATGACGATCCATGGAGTCGAGGTGAGTGCGGCCGCTGCTCGCCACGACGGCTCGTGTTGAAGTGACTCGATGCTGCGGAAAAGAGCAGAGCAACGTAGGTAAGGGAGTAGACAGGGGCTTTGGGTGGGCAGGATGTCCGTTCGTGCGTGAATCTGGGTTGGGTGGTGGTCGATGGGTTGTGCACTGTGGACTTGGGCTGCTAGCACGCCTCGTATTGAGGCGACGATGCTCTGAAGAGGAGGACAGAATAAGATGTGTGTTCGGGGCAAAGAAATTGATCCATCGGAATTACAGCAATGTTGCTTGGCGCTGTGGAGGAGGAATTGGAGATCCTCTCTGGCGTTTGCTCTCCTGTACTGACCTCACTTTTCAAGACTGCCATCGTTTCCCTGGGGTTCGCTGCTTCTCCCAGATCTATTTACTTAGTCTCTGTGGACCTACCTATTCTCGCCTTGATGCGGCTCAGAGGCATCGACGAAAGTCCGTTTGTGCGTGAGTATGCCCCAAAACGAGCTTGCGTGTGAGTATGCCCCAGAACTAGCTTGCTTTATATACCTGTCATCGCCGTGTATAGTCGATGTCGTAGCGGTGTTGCGGCTGCTGTTCTTTTCTTTTGTGTCGGACCGCCTGGGAACGCATCCAGCTCAACTGCACAGTTGTGGGGAAGCACTTCAATGGATGGTTGTGTTCTGATGTCTTATTCTTTTTTCTTTTCTCTTTTTTTTTTTTTATACGTGTGGTGAGTATGTCGCAGGAGTATTCTTTAGCGTATTCACACATTTGCAGCGCACTCTCTGCTGGTGGAGCTATAAGAGAAAACGGATGGTCTAACTGCTTCATCAGCGGTCTGGCATGCGACTTGAGCAAGGCTTATTCTTTTTCAATTACTTGGCAGATGCGAAACACTTTGTACGGATGGCGTTGTTTTGTATTTGTTCTTTTCGATCACTGGGCGAATGGCCTCTTAGTCGGCAGTTGTCGTGAGGACATCTGTACATACATGCGTACCGATGAGATCCTGAGAGCTATTCACACTTGTACTTTTTCCTGCATGCACGTATTTGTTTGGTCTCGTATTATTTATTATTTTCGCCAGATTCTGTCAAGAGAGGCACAAAGTGAGTACCGGGAGCGGTGTTGTCGAACGATGTCTTCTTGTCATTATGTCGCTCCATCTCTGACTGAATGCAACCGTCTTGACCTGTAGGGGGTAGTCTGTTAGCGGGTCCCGGCGAAGTTGTTGTGGGACGACGGAACCTGTGAGCACGCTGCTTCCGGGGGCCAAGCCGCACTTGGCCGGATTCTTCGTTTCTCCCGGTTGATTTTTTTTATTTTTATTTTTAACTTCGTATACGGGAAACCTACTTAGCCAGGTGATAAGAGCGTCCCCGGTAAGTAGGCACCCGGCGTAGAAGGCTGCATCTATTGGTGGGGAGCTACACCTGCTGGAAATCGGGTCCAGCGTCCCTGTACAATGATGTGAATGTCTGTGCTGAAAATCGGGTCCAGCATGCCTATGCAGAGATATAGATGTCTCGAACAATCTATGTACTATGCACTTTAAGCAATATTTGTCAGATGATGGAAGCCCCCCCTATCCATGTGATCTACGAGCCCAATCATGTCTAACCTTGATGTGGTGTGTATTACAATGATGTGATGTATGTCAGCTGGAAATCGGGTCCAGCGTCCCTATAGAGTGGAGTGAAACTATGTGAAACCATGTCCTATCCATGTGATCTGCCATGTCTCCAACACAACTATGATGTGTGTGGTCAGATTGTAAATGCGCTTGACTCACCTGTATCACCCAAAAGAACAGAGGCATTGATTACTTCCCTAGACAGGGGAAGGATTGACCTCATGCTCCTGAAGCATATATCCCCTAGACAGTGATGTATGTAGATGTCATATGCTCGCTAGCAACAACAAACGTGATGATCAATCAATCCTATCATGATTAAGAGTTGAAAGATGAGAGACAATCAACCCTATTCTTGGCAGGGAAATCATCTATCCTATCCCCGCCTGGCGCCTGAAAAAAAGACACGAATCATTATAAGCAAACACCATAAAGATCAATAAATCCTATCATGATTAAGAGTTGAAAGATGAAAAAAAAAAAGAAAGAAAAAAAAAGAGTTGAAAGATGAGATACAATCTACCCTAATCTTGGCAGGGAAGAGATCTGTAATCTACGGTTCAAAATCGAGGATTCAGGTAAGTGGGACTTGATCCCCGGCTTCTCTGTAGAGATGGAGCGAAACTGTCGTGAACTGGAGGACGGTCGGGTGTTTTAGACCCTCTTGTGTGTGGGATAAGGTGTGGGACTACGGTACCTGTTGGCACCGGAGGCCCCGCGGAGGGTAGTGTGTTTGGCCCTGCTTCTGTGGCGTGGAACCAGGTGTGGAACTGCGGTACCTGTAGCCATCTTGTTTCCTTGTTTTTTTTTTGTTTTTTTTTTTCACAGAAAATCAATCATCAATGAATTCATTTTTTATCTATTTATTTATTTAGTTAGTATTATTATTATTTTTAACTTCGTATACAGGGAACCTACTTGACGAGGTGATAAGAGCATCCCCGGTAAGTGGGCCCCAGCGTTGAACGCTCCATCTATTGGTGGGGGAGCTGCACCTGCTGGAAATCGGGTCCAGCGTCCCTGTACAATGATGTGAATGTAGCAGCTGGAAATTGGGTCCAGCCGCCCTATACAGAGATGTGTTGATATCTCCTACTACCTATATATGTTCGTTAACCAATTTATTGTCAGAAGATGGGAAAAGCCTATGAAGGGAGAGAACCCTATCCACCTAATCTACCATATCACTCTAGCAATTAAGGCATGTAGCCCGATCCTATCGATCGAACTGGCAACCGAAACCCTAACACAGATGTGAAACGAAACCCTAGTACAGATGAACTGTGTGTGTACTGTGAGTGAGCTGGAGATGGGATCCAGCATCCCTATATTATGATGTATGCATATTTTGGGGCTCACCCATATCATCGATAAGAGCAGAGGCATTGATTACTTCCGTACACAGAGGAAGGATTGACCTCCTGCTCATAAAGAGTTTATCCCCTACCCACTGATGTGTAGAGATGTCATGACGCACATACAATGTGTAGAGATGTCATGACGCACATACATCACGAAAAAGCAGAGAGAATGATTACTCGACTATGTGCCGATCAACCCTACTACTCAACTCAGAGGAGAACCTCTATCCTACCCCCACCCGGTGCCAGGCTATGAAACACCCGCGGACGCGTCCGCGGGTCCGATCTCGGATGGCGGACGCAGATGGGGCCGCCTCCGTGGCTGACCTGGTCCGCGCCGCGGACCCGATTTTACCAGAATTTTCCCGAATTAAATAATAGGTTAATATATATATATATATATAAACTCCGACGAAACAGTTTGTCACAGCCCCTCGTTTGTTGTCCTCTTCTCCCTCTCTGCCTACGGTTTACCGGGCAGTTCTATTTGACGATATATATATATATATATATAGGGTTCAGCCTCCTGATGAGTCGGTGAAACTCCGACGAAACAGTTTGTCACAGCCCCTCGTTTGTTGTCCTCTTCTCCCTCTCTGCCTA